CGCAGACTGCAGCCAGTGGTATCCTGCTTCAAATCGGCTGGCGGGCTCGGAGGAGAGCGGGCCGAGAAACTGGAATGACTGATGTGGTCCTCCTGATGGATGATCGAGCCGACTCCGGTGTGTGTCACCCTCCGCCGGGTTTCTGCTTGTATCATCCGATTGATGCCAGTGGCAGTATATAATGCGTGTTTGAGAATAACGTTAGCGTTAGATGATGTCTTACTAAGAAGAGTAAGAAAAAGAAAAGACTCAATTCCTCGTTTTGTGTCTTCATGTCCAGCAGTTGTGCGTTGTTCACATGGGTTAAGGTATGGTGAGTTGTGTCATCGTCCGCGAACAGTGGCTTAGGTAGCTTACAGTGGCTTACAGTAGCGCCAATTGCCACAGTTTGATCGACCAGCCGGATTGGGCATGACCGAAAGAAATACCAGCCAATCAGAGAGCGGAGCGCTTGGAACGGTAGTTGTGCTGGGAATGCTACTTGCGGTGGGAATGCTAGTTGACATATCAACGGCAGATTGTATCCCTGGAATGCGAAGTATCATACCCGCCTGGTGCATTTTCCCATTACGGTATTCTTGCTCTCTTAGTTCTCTCTAGTTATTTCATTTGCTGACAGGGGCCTGCATGTGCCACGCTAATGAAGAAACCAGCGTTGGATTGTAGAAATGGGCACTGAATTTGCCGAAGGGAACGAGGGAATGCTTAAGGTAACGTCACCTTACTTAGGTAGGTAAGGGAACGTCATACCATGGAACGAAGACGGGCCGGTGACGGGACTCATCCTTATCAGGAAACGGTATTAACAGCCCGTTGTGTCATAGGACCGTTCTCTTCGTTAAACCCATTCTGCCGAAGAACACTGGGTAAGGTGGCAGCTCTGACCAACCGGGTGTGCTAAATACAGGAACCTGTTATCCCATGTACACGACGGGTACCGGCGCCAAGTCCCTTCCTATGAATTCAACCTGCGAACGGCGACTACCAATTCTGACGTGCGACCCACAACGACGTACTCGGTCTCCCTGTCGAGAATTTAAATCTCGCTACAAACATCGGCGTGTATATGGGGGAGAATGGCGATGTGATGCGGACTCGCTCGAGGAAGCCGTTAATTGATGTGCCCTGTACTTTCCTTCGAAGATGTGGAATTGGATCAGGAATGCACATGTAACAGCCAAAATAACCTAAACTCAATCCATTTGACCCGATCCACCTTGACTATGGAGTGTAGCGACCAACGTCTCCTTCCCACGACCCCGTAAACCCATTGGCAGTGACTACCTCAGTCCCGTCCGCCAGTCTCAAGGTTGCGTAGGCGTCTTTGCTGCACAACCCAAACGCCTGAAGGTTGGCCGGCGTCTCCTTCACAAAGTGCATATGCCTCTGGCAGTCCCCGGAGCACTGTTGATAGCCCGGCCCGCTGAAGAACGCCCAGCTCGCAGAGGCATACGTGCGAATCCCGTTGCCGCCATTGAAGTAGTTCGCCGGGCCCATCCTGCACCTCTTGTCCCCCTGTCCGCACCAGGAAAACGTCGGATCACCCCAGCCCGCCTCATCGACTGTCCACGGCGCAGGCAGCACCATAAGGTTGTTGTCCCCCTGATCATAGTTGGTCTCGCTCTGCAGCAGGCTGACCAACACATTCTCCGCCTTCCTGAAGTTCAGCTGGTACAACCACCAGTGCTCCGATCCCAAACCATGCAACCACGTCCCCTTGGTCGCCTCCACCAACACTCCCCTCCCAGCCGCAAAACTACTCCCCCCGTCAAGGGGCACTTCCACCACATGATCCGCCACCCAATTCCACACATTCTCCACATACACGCTTGACGTCCTGGCCAGATGCATGCCCATAAACGCAGCTTTGCACTGGTTCGCTGGATCCCGACACGCATCCGTCAGCGGCTTGGCTCCACGCGTGCCGCCAACCGTTACAAGGCTGTTCCAAATCGCCACATCACCCGGGTTGGCCCCCGCCAGATGGAACTGCAGAATGATTGCGCCAGGGAGCACATCCCCCACAGTAAACCTCATATCCTGAATCTGCGCCACGCCCACCTCGCCAGGCAGACCAACCTGCACGACAGGCTTCGGGTTCTTTTCGTCTTTGAAGAAAGACCCATACCCAACGATGGTCGCCCAGGCCTCGCCCACGATCCGGCTGCCGGCGGGGATGAGAAGCGTCGAGTCGACGCGATACTTGCCAAAGGGAAAGTAGGCAATCTTGTTTTGGTCTGCGGCCAGGCGGAGGATGGCGTTGAGCGTGGCCGATTCGTCGACCGTGTTGTCGCCCAGCACGCGCCGGCCGCCGTTCTGGCCCGGGTCTTTGATGTTGAGGAATGAGGTGACGGGGAGAGAGGCGTAGCTGGGCGCTGGTGGGACCGGATACCGGCCTCCTGGGGCGAGGGCGGGCGGACGGGAGAGGAAGGAAGAGGTGAGGGGTTGGTAGATGGGGTTGCTGTTGACTGTGTTGGCGTAGGTGAATTGCGCGATGTGCGATTGGCCGGGGAGGATGAAAGTGCCTGGGCCCTGGGCCACGTCGCTGGTGGTATCTTTGCTGAGGTTTTCGATCAAGTAGTTGGGCCAGGTGGTGGTTTTGAAGGTGACGCCCGAGTTGATGGATTTGGCGTCGATGAGTCCGATCCAGGGGTAGCCGCCGGTATTGAGGACGCCGGTCCCGACAGTGTCGAAGGTTGGGTTGATGATGCTGATGGTGTGACCGCCATCGATGAGCATGCCGACTGTGTTCTGGAAGAAGTAGATGCTCTTGAAAACGGCCTGCTGATGGCCGTTGTACCAGATGCCGTTCTGAAGCGGTCAGCATACTTCGTCGGATCCGCAAGCAAGGGTGGATCTAAATACCTGGCCCCTTTCAATGCGCACATCCGACACGGCGAGCGTAGAGCCCCGACCCAGCCTGATGCCTGTGTGGCCAGCACCGTTGACAGAGTAGGGCATGCGGATCTTGACGTTTTGCAGGTGGGCTGCTTGTGCCACGCCCCAATAGAGGGCTACAAAGGGTGCGTTCCCGGCAACGTTGGTGGTGTCGAGGACGAGATTCTTGAGAGCTACAGCAAACGATAGTTCACCCGAGATGCCTGTTGCCGGGTCCTGGCCGGAGAACAAGGTGCCGTCGCTGGGAAATCCTGGCGCTGCCTTCAGAACAGGGGGCTATGCACACGGGTCCGTCAGTGGGCATGTTCAACAGTCGTCTAGGTTGCTCGAAGTACCGTATTTGCATCTCCAATGATGATGGTGTCGGTGTTCATGTAGATAGTCTTGCTGATGAGGTACTCGCCGGGAGGGATGTAGACAACCTACGGCCGGTTCAGAATACGCTGAAGTCAAATTCTCGCGAATGTATCATACCCGTGGCTGGCTGGCAAACCACTTTCCGTGCCGGGTGTTGCCGTTGGTCGCCGAGTTGATGGCGGCCTGAATGCTGGCTCCATCGCCGGGACTGACGGCGCGATACACCTCGTACACATAGTCGCCATCAAGATCTGGCGCATAGCCTCGGACGTTGGCGCTGGTGTGGTCGATGTTGGCATACCAGAAGCTGGTCCCCGCCTGTCGTGGGTCGAACCGAGCTGATGCATTGACGGAGGGCTTCCCGGCCGGCGACGCGAGCACGATGCCGAAGTAAGCGGCCGCAGACAGCACCGCTGTCATGCTCTTGAGTGCGAGCATGGTGTTACGGTTCGGCGGTGAGCTAGATGGTCAATAGTCTGAAGAAACCTGACGGGGTGAGAAGTGGGCATGATGGCGGGGGAGAGGTCATCATCAAATATCCGAAGAACATGTCCCCTTGCCCTAGACATGGAGCAGGCATATCTGAGCTATGCCGCGGTTGTGTTCACCCTTCACCTCGGGGTCGTCAGTAATCCCTACTCCCCTTCCACTGTTCCACAACGTGCTCACACTGCAGCGGTGCGTGAGAAAACCTCTATTCCAGGTTAGCCCTGGCTTGGGTCTGCTTCCAGGTGAGATTCCGCTACGAACTGTCCAATAGTGACAAAGTTCTGGTAGCAGTCGGCGAAACTCCACTCTAGGCATCAACATTGTGTCGATCGCCGTGCTACAACCCCTCCGACAACCCTAGCAATCTTAGCGTGCTGCAAGTAAAAAGACGCGTTTTTCTCAGTACCTGGCAGGTATCCTGTACCTGCAAAGATGGAGCCCACAGGCCAATCCAACTCCGCCATGATGTCAACTTGGATTAGGGCAACCTAGGTCATGTGAGTTGGTTAAGGTACCATCAGACCCTGGTTTGTTAGCGCGGATCTTGTGAAGGAAATAAGCACAAGACTAAGGTATAGTTATGGTAAGGTATTCACCGTCTTTTCTCCTTCTTCTCCTGTTTATTCTTTGATTCAATTTCTCCTCTTATCCTTTTATTTGTTGCTTTTACATTACTTCTGTTTCCTTCATAGTTAACTTACTTTCTTTGCCTCCTATTTTACTATTCCTTCTTTCTTTCTTTTTTTTTTTGTTTGGTTATTTTCCTACGTTTCTCTCCTTGTTTCATTTATCCTACCCTTCTTCTAACTGAGCCGCCATGTGCCACGACAATAAACACACTTTGTTAACGTTACCTTTATTTCTGTTGCACTTCCTTTCTTCCTTCTCCTCAGCTTATACTTACCTTCCTGTTCATGATTGCAGGTAACTGCTGGTATTTCTCTTTCTATATCTTGCGTTTTATATGGCTGTTCCATGTAACTAATCGTCTTTCCGTTGATTGTGCTTTCGTAAAATACCTGTCATATGCCACTCTAACACAACCAGACCCAGCATGTGGTTGACAGTTACAGACTTTCAGATGGACGCTCATCTCATCAGAACGTCTCCACCCGGGCTAGGTTCCCAACACTCTTGAGCTCACCCAAGTGACTGAACACTACAGTCTGTCGGGTTGGAGCAGTTGAGGAGAAACGCCTTGGCTGTTCCTGGGATGTGGGTTTCCACTCCCTGTGTTCTCCACCGAACACGACTAGCGGTAATACAAAACCAATATATGATTGATAGGTACCTAACCTCGAGTAAGATAAAGAAGTGTGGCAGACAGGCAATGATTTGTCCCGGTCAGAGTGCGGAGAGTAATTGATCTCGATCTTTGTTCGGGGCGAAGGAACTTCAGGCGAGCAGAGCAGAAATGTCCGACGCGTCCAGTGTCATTAAAAGAGCTTTTACAAACCCAAGCACTAGGTGCTTATGCTCCTCCTTTCTCTTTCAGACCTTCTGCACACCCATTTACACAGACGCTGTTGTCGGCAGAGGTCCCCACGGGAAGCAAGCTTTGCAACCATCAATCTTTGTTTCAGGAGTTGAGATACGCAATCTCAGTAACAACTTGAACGTGCAGGCCTCCTCAAGACCACAACGAGAGTCAGTCGAGTCCACCGCTATATACATGGATGACTAAGGTAACCCGCCAACAACAAGACAGACTTTACCATCACCATTGTCACGGACAACATCTGTCCCTGGATACATATATACCCCCGAGTTTTCAAGTTTAGAAACACTCCAATCTAGCGTCCGACAGTGCTACACTGGCAAAAAGAAGCTCGACAAGGTTATCGAGCTTCACTGGAAGGTATACCCCGGCGGCAAAGGCGATAGTTTTACCATATCTTGGTTCCCGTTATACCTGGACGAGTCTAGTCGCTGCCCACAGAGGGCATCCCCGTTTTCGACCGCCTCAGCAGCGCTTAGGTGCGGACCGTGCACCGAGTTCCAGGAGCGTCTATGCAACATGGGCGCTCAGGAGGGTACCTTCTTCAATTCGCGGGAAGAATCGGTAATGCCCGCGACTCGCATCGGCTGTTCCAGCTGGGCAAGACGAAGGGGACCGAGATGGAGAATCGGGTCGTGATGGGATTATTTCGGAGTTACTTTAAAAGTACTGGCAAAATTACCTGCCACGAAATGCTGGTTGAGGCAGACGTCAAGGCAGGGATTGAAGAGGCGGGAGTACGGGAGTGGCTGGAAAGTGGAAAGGGCGGGGGGGAGGTCGATGCCGAAGTGCAGGAGGCAGAGAGTGAGGGAATACGGGGCGCCCTCACATTACCATTGAAAAGTACGAGGATGTTGGCGCGCAGCATCCTCAGCAGTTCATGGAGATGTTTCCCAAGGTCCAGGACGAGGAGTTGCATAGCTGATCGGTTGGATTGTACAATAGAAGAAAGGAAGCCAATATCTTAGGGTTAGGGCTACTCACGGTTATCCTCTCTTCTGTCCCATTGTCTGTCCGGTCTCAACCCTCGTTTCCCTCCTGATTACTCCTTGCACTCGCTTATGCAAGTCCACCTTTCCCTGGCCAGCCTGAGCACGCCTGACGCTCTTGCATGGGGCCGGAGCGATGACCTCTGGGACGACGAAGGCGTCGAACAAGCCCGATTTCAATCTGTCGCAAAATCTTCCCTTTCGCACGCCAGCAATTGATGACTCAGCAGGCCCGGGCCAGCTCCTTGCCCGAAGTTTTGCCGGCCGAGAACCCGTTCGCGTTCCCGGAGTGGGGCCGGCTCCGTAACGGCTCCAAACGGCGCCGGCGACGGAGGCCGGAAGTCGTCGCCCATTCTACTTCGTTCACACCCATCAAAGTCCTCCAGCGCGCGCCCCGCGCATTCGCGATGGCGGTGCATCTTTGGCGCCAGGATCCCGTCCCCTGTTCGGGGACGCGAACCAACTGTGTCCGACCCTCGAAGAGGCTCCGGTGCTGGCCAGGCTCGCTCATGCCGTCGTGGCCTTCCCCCTTTCCGCTCAACCCCCAGAATTTCCCTTTCTCTCATCTTTCTACTCATGCTTCCTACTCCTAACGCACTGCTCGGCTCAACATGACGGTACAACAGCAGTCACGCTTCTCCGAGCTGGACGAGGAAGGCGTGAATACGCTCCTTCAGCTTTACTTTGAGAGCGCCATAGAGGAGGAGGCTAACGAGCAGCCCTTCGTCGCTTTGGAAACGCGAAACCAGCGTGATAGAGTATGGACTGAATGGACCGAGTATGTCTTCTCTTCCCCCTCACCTTTCCCGGGCCTCCCCCCCTCACGCGAACTAAAGCTCGACACGACGTCTGGGACAATGTGCTGATGTATTACTGGTTTCTACCATTTGAAAAGATTCTGTGCACTTACCAGAAAGAAAGATGGCGAATTTGATGGTACTCCCCGGGTGTATGTGGCCCACCTCCGAGCCCGCGACTGGTGCTAACTGAGTGAAGCCGTCTTGATGTCGACCCCTGCCGCTTCTGGGTGGACTTCGCTCGGGAACCGTCAGCTCCAAGGGGTCAGGCAATCGTCCAGGGGTTTCTACACAAATATGTGGAAAACTCCTACAAGGAACGTGTCGTGCTGGGGCCTGAAGAGCGCGCTATGGTCCGCACGGTCAACTCCGCTTATAGTGTCATTGAGGTTTGGCGGAGGCTCGTCGCAGCGGCCGATTTCAAGGTCCTCCGTGCTGAGCGGGCCGCGCTGCGAAGGAATGATAAACTCCAGGAGGCCAACCGGCTCTTCCTGAAGTGGGCGCAAGAAGGCGAAAAACGGGAGGGACCCGCCTATTCGATTGTCAAGGTATGTGGAGCTGAACCGAATACATCATTTTTTCCCTCCTTTTTTTTTTATTGGTGGATCCCCTTGCATGTCATTGAGGTTACTTCCTCTACACCTCCACTCTTCCCGTGTCATACTTATACTATCCGTATACTTTACTGACTGGTGTCTGGCTAGTGGATCCTCCAGAAATTGACGCCAACACTCGGCCTAGAGATCGACTCGTCGTACCTGAAGGTTGAGGCGACAGCAGCAGACATCATCGTCATTCTTACAGCGCTATATCAGCGTGCTGACGATATACCCGCTTCGCCACTTAAGAGGGTGTCGTTCCACCACGCGGTCCTTCAAATGGGTACCGGCGGTTTCCGTCCAGGCTGCCTTGAAGACACCCTGTGCAAGCAGTACACCATATCCGTCGTGCGCGATCCCGATAATCCGACCCGGGTGAAGCCTATTGTCACACACAGGATTGATCGGAACAAGATCAAGGAGGCCGAGAAGACCTGTAAATATAGGAAGCAAACATCGTAAGCAGTTTCATCCTTTAGCAGATGGGAGACCAAGGGCTGACGAAGGTGTATTCCCTACCGCCTGTCCACAGCGTCGCCTACTCTACCACTCTCGTGCCGTTTCACCTCCTTGATTCGGCGAGCCTCGTGATCACTCGGGCGATACAGATGGACGCCTTGGATTTGGATGTCAGCTACAAATCGCTCCGCGAACTCCTCCAGCGTCCACGTCTTGGTGAAACCGGCCGCATCGACATCCCCTGGAAGGAGAAATTCCTCAACGAGCCTCTTTTCCCACTAAAATACACAGAGTTCTCGGCGATTTGGAATCGGTGCCTCCATGTCATAGGCAGCCGGAAGGATATCCGCCCATACTCTCTTCGCGTCGGTGCTGGAGCCCGGATGGATAGTATGGTGCTCCCAGACACTCACCCCCGCCGGACGTCGGATAGTCAATTGACAAGTATTTGCAGACAGCCTGTCAAGCGCCCTACGGAACTACGTTATGGGCCACTCAGGACCTGTTTTCGAAAATGACTACCAGACAGCTGTCGTAAGAGCCAATCTCGCCTCAATAGCGTTTGGGCCGAATGCCGTGCGCCGGGATGAGTGGATGGATGGATGGAATTTATTTCGCCCGGAGGCACGAAGCCTAAAGGGCCTTGGCACGCTAACTACATCCAATTCCTTGACGTTCAACCATCAACTCGTACAAGCCCTCTACTCTCTCCCCTTTTCTCACGCCACCTGTTGCCTCTTGACTTAGTTTAGCAGATCGACTTGGAGGCACCGGGATGAGTGTCACGGCGATTGCGCCGTGCCTGCTAGGACCCACGGGTGGAACCCGGCATGTGGAAAGCACGGGCCCCTGTGGGTTAAATATTCTGCACCTCGCTGCCGCGAGATCTGTTCGTAGCTCCTCGAGCTACGTCTTGACAATCAAGCCTGCCCGTACCTGACGGAATAGAGCTTAGACTGTAGTTTAGCCCGAATACAATTGTCATTGGATTGTCCGCCTGTCCCGCCGTGACAATGAGACGCTCTTCGAGGACCTTCGCAATATGACCCTTACACGGGATGAGGGCGCCCCTATCTCCGTGTTGGAAGCACAGGTTGCGAAGTTCCAGGAACAAAGGGATATCGCTAAGCTCCGCAACAAGATCCAGGCCTCAACCGACAAGCTTGAGAAGAGCAGGCTTCGCAGTCAAATCAGCAGCATCCTCAAGACTTGCAGAAGGCTGCAGCTCGAAGTGGATCGACAGGCCTACTTCAAGGAGGCGGACCGGTTGCGTCTCCAGGGGTCTGAGCCGAACCCAACGCCCGGCGCGGGGGGTCCGGGTGTAGCGGCTCCGGTGGCCGCCTGTCTATCGCGCTGGAGACCGCGAGACGAGGGCGAATTCCCAACGGACGACACAAGCGCATCGGAGCAGTATGTCGCTGCGCAGCTGCTATACCTGTCGTCTACCGTAACTAAAACTCGTCGGCTGGTACCAAAGGCAGCGGCACCTTCCAAGTCGCAAGGGGACTCCCACTGTTTCGTCTGCTTCAAAGGCTTCACAAACCGCTCTAGCCTTACACGGCACTTCCGAGATACCCATTTTGTCGATGGTACGTTTGAAGAACCTCTCGCTTGTCGCGGGTGCAAGCGCGCCGGGGCGGCAGAGGTTGTGGTCCACGGCCCGGCACAGTGGTGCAATCACCTCGAGCCAGGGTTCTGCATCTATCCACTTCTACCCACGCGACCCTTGAAGTAGATAGAATAGATGGATTAGTCAGCTGGACTGAGATAGAGTTGATAGAATAGAGAGCTATTCTATCAACGTAGATACCATTCACGTAGATTGTTCATGCTTAGCGGATGAAAGATGTTCCGATAACAGGACGCTCACGACTGCTGAACATTTCTACCTAGCCACAAGCCGGTCACCTCATGCTATGCCACCTTCAATTTGAAGCAATATCTCATCCTCAAGCGCCTTAATGCCTGCCTCTCGGAAGGCGATTCCGCATAATCATCCGTCAATCCGGCTTTCACCCACGATCTAATCGTCTGGGCGGCAGAGATCACGTCAGTCCTGAGCCGCGTCCGTCGTGTCGTTACCATGCAGCCAGCAGCGGAAAATATTCTTTCACACTCGGCTGCCATCGGCGGGACGTTGAGCACGTCAAAGGCCATCTTTGCCAATCGGGGATATTCGAATCGGAGGTCCACCCAGTACTTGATAGGGTCGGCCTTTGGGTCAAGGTATCTCCCCTGGATTGAGAGAAGCCAACGATCTAGTTCATCCACCGTTTGTGAAGACGACGGCCTACTGCTAATC